TTACCAAAAATCCTAAACTTAGCTGGGCTGTTGTTCCAACCTCTGCAAGGACAGCTGGGAGGAGAGAACGCATTAATATGCAAAGCTGAGTATTTCCCAAAAAGCCCTAAGTGTTTCCTTGGCAGAAGATTAGCACCCTGTTCCTTTGAAGAGCAACAGGAAAGTTTAGTCTGTTTTCAGGCAGTTGTGACCAGGAGAGCCCCCAGTCAGAGGGATGAGTCCTTTGTAATTATAATTACAAAGCTGAATTAGGCTAGTTGTTAAGATTTATTTTATTCTTATTTTTCAACTTGAGTTGAGGTGAGTAAAAAAAATGTGGGGAGGGTGAAAGGGCAGAGTTTTCTGCTCACTTGGCAAACCCAGGCAGTCCTTCCAGTGGGAAGAAAACTTCCATTTACTGTGTCTAGGCATTTTAACACTTTTGTCAAGAATTGCACAGTTTGCATTAGGACTGGATTTAATCCCTGCTTATCTTTTTCCTGCTTTTTTATGCTCTAAGTCAAGCATCATAGAGAACAACAAGTGGGTAGGAACAGTGGTCCCAGTTCATAGATTATTCAAGGGAAGTGCTGTTTTCTCTCAGGGGTTGAGATGGGTTGCAAGATGAGACAGGTTTCCCAACGTTTCTCTGCCATCTGGTGGAAGGAATCTTAGGGCTGTCCTACAGCCCTTGGGAATCAGCAACAAATATTTGAACTTCAGAGAATTGCTCAGTTCACCAACTTTTCATGCAGTGAGAGATGTAGTTTGGATATTACAAAAACTCAAAAGACAACTTAATGCTAGAATAGATTTTTGTGAGAGGAGGGGAGTTTCCAGCAAATATTATACCCAGACACGCTGCTTTTGGGGTGGAAGATGGACTAGAGCAGACCTGCAAGCATGATCCAGCCAGCAGGGAGCTCTAGTACCATCCAGGAGAGCACGGACTGATTCTCACCTCTGCCAGACTAAGATCTGGGGAAGAACTCACAACCTGTTTTCCTGCTTTAGGTGGGCACATCAACAGCATGTGCAGTTTGTTATCTAAAAGACAGCAGGAGCTGGACCTTTATGAAACATCATAAACCCTCCCCTATGTACCCACATCCCTGGTCCTGTGTACCAACAAAGTGAGGGAAACAAGGGGAGTTGGTGAAAACTTCAAGCTGCATGCTTTGTCTTTAGTCGTAAACACCCTCACAAAGTCTGAACTTGTGGAAAATAAGGAGGCAAGGCATGTAAGCTGAGGCAGTTCTGCCTGTTTGTAATAAACCAAAAATAAATGGACAATTCCAGCGCATTGTCGGCATCTCTCTGCTTTAAGCTAAGTCAAGGCCTCAGTTTACACATTCACAGCTTATTAGAAGACAAACTTTACCTGACTTGGAGCCTTGGGCGTGCCCAGTGGTTTCAAAACACAGGATGCCAGAAACCAGGCGGTCAGGCCTATCCACTCTTGCATTTACAGTTTGGCTGGCAAACACTGCTGCAACTGATTCAGAGCTCACAAAAGAGGTTCTCTGCTTTCACGAGCTTTTGAAGAGTTCAAGAAGGAGACCTGTCTGTCTTTATAGTCCTGGCAGCAAGGTTACATTCTAGTGTTTCCCAGTGCTTTGTATTCCTTTGGGAGCCCCATGACTGACAGGTGGCTGGCACCAGAAGCACGGGAAATGACCGTCCTGGATTTTGGAAGTGAGTCTAGGAGCTGTCTGGGGTGTGTTGGAGGCTGCCCTCATGCCCATGTCATTCCTGGGATAGAGCAGGGCAATAGACCTAAGGTTCTGGCCAGCTTTCATGATCTCAGGAGGGCAAAGCTACTTCTGATCTCTGTCAAAATCATATTTTGGGAGTAGGGTTCTCATTCCCGAGCTCGTGAGAGAAGCATTTGAGATCAAAGGAGAAGTTCCCATCCAAATGACACAGTAATCCTTGAACAGCTTTGGGAAGAGGAGTGCCAACTCCCTGTTCGTCTCCAAAGCAGCATGTGGCCAATTGAGGGCAATTCACTACACTTTTACAGCTCCCATTCTCCACATCTGTAATTATTCCCTTGCATTGCAGATGGAGAGGCTGGATCAGCCCAAGGTGACTGTGCCCATCCCCAGCGGTACACAGCCTTTGCTCTGGGGGCTGTCTGTTCAGCTGGAAAGCACAGCGCTGCTGGATGACGTTTTCCTCTCCTCCCACTGAATCAGCCTTTTATTTACTCTTTGGAATGCAAAGTAACAGGATACCCTGTGAGTTTTATCTCTCTCCCTGTCTTTTGTAATGCTTAGGAAGTTGCGAGACCGGATTAAGCTTTGAGATGGGGTGGTTTCGGGGTTGCCTGGCTGGAATCTAGGTGGGAGGGCACTGTCGCTGAAATTTGAATTTGGGAGTCGCGCTGAGAGTACAATCCTTGAGCCATGCTACGGGAAGGAAAAGCCTTTGTCCCTGAGTGACACCGGCCTGTCGCTGGTGTGGATGGATGGTGCTCCTTTGCTCCTGGCAGCTGCCTCTACCAGAAGACTCTTCCCCCGCAGGCAGCCGGCCTTCATTCCTTATGTAAGCATTTCTTCCCTTCTTTCACGTGCATGGCATTCCCAGGGCTGGAAGCTGATGCGGAAGGATCCTGCCTGCCCCTACAGTGTTTGCTGCTCCTGCAGCTGATCCTTGTCTGGGGTTCGAGCTCAGGGCGATTTATCTCTTGCAACTTGCACAGATTCTGACCAAGCCGGACTTGGTTCTCAGGGGCTCGCCGTCCTCCCAAACCTCGGCTCTGCTCTCAAGATGCTGTTGTGGCTACACTGAGACAACGCAAGGAAAAGGACGTGACAGCTTTTATTGGATAAACTGGTTCCAGTGGGAGCAAACCGAGGCTTTGCGGCTGACTGTTGCTATTGCATGAGGGTGAGTGCCTTAAACTTTATGCTTTATTGGGTTTTCACCGTGCCTCGGCTGGGCTCAGCATCTTTCAGTTAGACATGGAGATCTCTCACCAAAAAGCACGTGGCAGACAGGTTGGGAATTGTTATTGTATGTTTTGGGGCTGTACACTGCCCAGGAAGAGACCTGCTCCCACCACGGTGAATTGGCTGCAGCACAGCCACGAAGGCTGTGCTCCAGCAACAGAGAAACCAGAATCCTGGTATTGAGGCCTCGAACCAACCACCTCCCAGCTATATAATATTTATATTTTGTACATGTATTGCTTGCTGGTTTTTCCCACGGTGATTGTCTTCCCTTATTCAAAAAGGGCTCATGAATTAGTTTGTAAAATGTCAGTAGCTTGAATGGCAAGAAACAGTGAGCATTCACAGCTTTGTTTCGAACCAGGGATTGTGGATCTTCACATTTTGCCCTCATCTACATCCCTGAGCATGGGTGTTCGCCTGGCATCAGCCTGGAGGAGATCAGTGGATGCGCAAAACAGGAAGAATGTGTAGAATGTAGAAGCAGTGGTTCATCTGAGAGCAGCTGCTTTGTACCCAGAATACGCTGTTTCACGGGGGTGTTGAGACAGGCTGCAGCCAGGCAGGTAAGGGAGTGGCTGTAAAAACAGCGCTGGGCAGGGCTGGGCATCAGCGGGAGCGCTGAGAGCTCCTGACATCAGCAGCCTGACTAACACGACACCTTTTCAAGAGGCGTACCTTAAATCGAGGGATGCTGCCTCCTGTGCCGTTCCGCGGTGGGTGGAATTCTGGCAAATGCTGAGGGGGTAGGGAAGAGGTGGTTTGTGTGTTTCTATACAACAGCAGAATCAGAGACCTCACTCCGTCTCTATTTTTTCTCCCCCCACCAAAAAAAAAAACACCTGCAAAAAGCCTGCAAAACTTCTCCTCCGCAGGAGACAACATAGAACGAGGGAAAACAAAGGAGACTCAGCAAGGGATTTTCTGCGTGTGATCAGCAACTCTTGTTTTACCAGAACAAGAGTTCTGGGAAATTTTAAGTGTTCAAATGTTTTTAAAAAATCCAGTTTCAGGGCTGGATGCAATTGGTGTAAAAATGTTTGGATCAGCAGTGGGGTGGCCAGTTCAACTTTTGATGGGCGTATCACATATTCATATGGACTGTCACATGTAAGGTGGAGAAAGGAAGAACATTTACATGAAAAAGTGAGTTTGATCTAGCTATTTTAATCCTGACATGCTCTTGAATGTGAGAAACCTAAATATTGGAGTGTGTGTGTGTGTGTGTATGAATCATCTTTTGAAGAAGGGGTAAATGGTGAAGTAAGACTAAATGCAGGCTTCAGTGTTACAAATTCTTTCAAACCTGCATTAGAGTGTTCTCAGAACCCCAGTTGCTCCTTTCCCTCTCCGTTTAATATTAAACCACACAGGCCCCAGGGGCTGTTGCTGTGTGAGCATTGCCTGAATGCCACATTTGGGTGCACATCCAGTTTCTGCAGCACTGCTGTGTTGTTCACTTTGTATCCTGTCTGTGTTAGACAAGAGAAAGCTCATTCCTACAGTTCTGTAGCCTGCTGAGGGCAGGTTTCAGGCTGGGAAAAGGGAGTATTTTGCTTCCGAGTGTTTTTGGGAACATGAGGCTTGTCCCTGGGGTAAACTGTCTGTTCATGCTGAGAATGCCCTTCTTTGCAGCAGGGTTTCATAGCACAATAATGTTGTCACCTGAGGAGGGATAAGACCTGGATACACAAAGCTTTTCTTTAGGAACTGTGCATCTTTGCATGCCAGCCAGCCCTCCTACCGATTGCAAGACGTCTTCTCTTGGTATGAGACAAGATTTTTCTGGTTTCATTTGCTAAAGTAAAGCTTGTGGCTGAAGGATCGCTTGGATGGTGCAGAGCTGATGTGGGGCTTTTTGGGCACAGTGTTTTCCCTTATTTCCGTGGCAGGAGGGGCGGGAGCGGCACAGACCTGCGGGGCGGTTCCGTACACGCACCTGCGGGAGCGCAGGGAGGAGGAGCCGGGCGCTGTGCCAGGGCCGTGCCAGGGCCGCCGTGCCGGGGCCGTGCCAGGGCCGTGCCGGGGCCGTGCCGGGCCGCCGTGCCGGGGCCGTGCCAGGGCCGTGCCGGGGCCGTGCCGGGCCGCCGTGCCAGGGCCGTGCCGGGCCGCCGCCGCCGCGCCATGGCGGCCTGAGCCGCGCTCTGCCCGGCCATGGAGCGCGGCGCCCCGGCCCGCGGTGCCGCCGTGCGCTACAGCGCCCAGCTGCAGGTGAGCACACCGGGCGCGGGGAGAGCCCGCAGCGCCTGCCAGCCTTGTGCCGAGCTGCCGCGTGCTCTGCTCGCTCCGGTTCCTTCAAGCCTGGTGGGTTCAGGGCTGCTCTGGATCCCTCAGGAAGGAGGGATTCCAGCTCACCCTTGGGTAAGGTCAGGAGAAGCTCTTTGGGAGACGTTGCTGAGCTCAGCAGAGCAGAAAAAAAAAAACAGCTTTGGGGAAGTGGAGATCACCTGTCAGTGCCGGCTTTGGGTCTCGGTGTCAGTGCTGCCGTTGCTCCGGGGGTTTTGGTTTCAGCTGAGGGCTGTGGGGTTTGAGTAAAGGTAAACTCCGTGCTACTGAGTTGTGTGCAGAGTCTGGCTCTGGGTTGTTTAGCAACAGATCTGACTAAACCTGTTCAAGTATCATAAAGGACAATTTTAACCGAGAGCTGTGGGGCTTCATTAATTAACCGCTGCATTATTTACCAGTGTGTTCTGAGACCTGAGTGAGCTTCTTGTGTAGATCTTCCCGGCTGAGGGTTGGGCAGGGACGGCTGAGTTTGGGTTGCACCTCCAGAGCCTGTTCTGTGCCACAGAGCTGTTCCAAACACAGGGTTTTGGGTTAAAGCAGGCCAGCAGCATTTCCCACCCCACCCTACCTGCAGGCTGTGTGGTGTCTGTCTCCAAGGCCTGGCTTTAGTAGTTATTATCTCACAGCAACATAGGAGTTGGTGGTTCTGTCACTGATCAAAAAGCTGGCCTACAGCAAGAAATTTTCTCTTGCCTTCAGTTCCACTGTCCGGTGTGTGCCATGACTGGGATTGGGAAGGAGATGCTCTTGCTGAAGCAGTCCAGCTCAAGCTTCTTGTCCCTGGCCAGGCTGGGGTAACACTTGTGGGACATGATCTTCCCTGCCTGGCTTGTTCTCTTGGCAGAAGGTAGCTTTGTGCTCTGATTTGTTTTTATGCAGGACTGAGGACTCAAGTGGGTCCCTTCCATGGTTCTGGATCAGTTTTCCCCCTGTGTCAGTTCAAGAGAGACTGATCTGATCCAGAGCAGCTTCCCTGAAGACAGTACCTGCCCTCCTGGCAGGAAACAACACAAATATTTTGTCACCCATGGACTGTTGTTAGACTTTGCCCCTTATTCCTCCACTTATGAGAGTGGAGGAAATTAGTGGTTTTGAAACGTCTTGTGTCTCCTCCTGTGCTGATAAAGGAGCTGCCGTAGTTTTTGGGCTAAAGAGAAGCTGCCCCTCTTCCTTAGAAAGGTGCAGAGTGTTTCCTTGGGGTAGTGGCTGGCAGGTGAGCTGCTGCTTGGGCCAGTTTGGCTGGTGTTGGTGCCAAAAGCAAACAGGGATAAGGAAGACACAATGAGAAAAGGGCTGAGGCCAGACCTTTGCTCAGCAAATGAAAGATCACTGTGTAAAACCTTTGAGGGAGCAGCGAGAGTGTTTTGAGGGCCTGGCGTGTGGAAGGTATCAGGGCAAAGGTTCTCCCCTTGCCCGGGGTAGAATCTATCATTTCCATCCAAAGGCCGCCTGGGACAGACTGGGAAACAATGCCCTGCAATATCCGGGCCATGGGCTGGGATGGGGAGGGAGCAGCCAACAGGGATGGGGTTGGCAGACAGAGACTTTCCTGGTTGGAGGTGCTTGTGTTTTCCTGGCTGTTGGCTTCAAACATTGAAGACTCGTGGTCCTGATCCATCTCAGAACTGCAGGAATGAGTAAAGTGTCAAAAGGATTGTGGAGGTTGAGGTCTGGGGCTCTGCTGCTTTGGTTAAGCTGCTGGAGGCAGTTCTGTTTTCCAGGCAGTTCTGTCTGTACCAGGAAAGACATACGAGTGATTTAAATCAGCTGTTTGCATCTGTGGCATGTTTCTCTGCTGCTCTTGGGACATCAGTGTGTTGTAAGGAGGAATTTTATGGCCCATAGGTACACACATCAGGGCTGTAGGGTACCTTTATTCCCAGCTTCTCCCCAAGAGTTGTTCAGATTTAAGTGTAAAATTCTCTGCTACCACAGACACACAGAAGCGTGGTAGCTTTTTCTGAGCTGCTGTGATGCAGAACAGAGCTGCACCCATCAGCCTGGACGGGGCAGCAAGCCAAGCCTGTGCTATCTCTGCAAACATTAACATTAGTATCTTCTATAATAAACCTAAAGGAATTTGTTTTCTCGTATGACTCAGAGTGGTCACAAGACAATCTGCTGTAGAGGGTTAAGCTCAAACTTGGTATGTGAAATAGGTGTGTGTGTGACCTGTATCTTTCACTATTGCACCTGCCCTCTATGCCTGAAGATGCAGTCTGTAGGACTCTTGTCTTTGAGCTCTTGCCCCATATTCCCTTTTTAGTTTTGATGTCATCATTTTATACCTTCATTGTCCTTAATACAGAACTGAAGGTGAAAAATAATGCACTGGAAAAGTTTCTTCAGTACTTTGCTGCCTGTGGTGAGGCAGCACAGCACGAATCCATGTTACGTAAGTTTCACTTCCCATGTGTGCTGTTTCCATGTATTTGTTATCAAGAGTAAGAAGAGAAGTGAGATGATTCTTATCAGATCTTTTTCCCTGTTTGGGTTTGCAGCAAGAATTGGTGCAAGAGTTGATTTAAGGATGGTGTAGCTGTACTTGAGCGACTTGGCTGAAATAAGTTGCACATGCTGTTTACATTTGTTTTACTTTTCCAGATGGGTAACAGGCTGTTTTCCCTCATACCAGCATCGCAAAGCTGATGTTGGCTTTCAACATGATTCAGGAATTCTCAGCTTTTGAAAATACAACTTTTCTGGCTGTTTTTGCCACACAAGCCCACCCTGTTGGTCTCCTGAGCTCTGAACTGGCCTGCTGGCTATGTCGTGAGACTGTGGCCCAGTCGATGGGTTTCATTCCTCTCGTTTCTCATGTGGTATTTGTTTTAGTTTTTATTGAACACCACCCGAGGCAGGTGTGGCTAAAAAGGGGGAGGTGGGAATTGCCTCTCAGATACACAGGCTGGGATCTCCAAGTTCTAATTGCCCTCAGGAGTCTAACCATGCAGTCCAATGACTCTGCTTCATCTCTGACCTCCCTGTGCCTCCTCCAGCCTGGTATGTTATGGGTTCCTTTTCTTGGTGGTTTAGATTGGTCTCAGATGGTGACTTTTTTTGCTGTGAGATTTTATTTGGTTGCACACCTGCTCTTACCTTGTATGATCTGGGCAGCTTTGGCCCTGAGCAGTGCCGTGGCAGACCGGCAGAGTATGAAGTTGGAAAAGTCAAAGGAAGTAGGTAAATCTCATGTCTGGTGCTGGATGAACAAATTAACTGGTGGTCATAAAGGACTTGTGAAACTAATGACCAGGAGCCCAGTCCTTCTGTGGGTCAGAGTCCTGCGAGCAGATGCAGACACTGAGGGGGACATGGAGCGCCTGTTTTGGAGGAGAGTGGAACAGTAAGAGGTTTGGTGACTGGGACACGTCACCATCTGGGAGTGCCAAACAAGGCAGAAACCAGCCTCTATGTGGGATGCTGATTCCAGTGGGACCCCTGCTTTGCACACATCATGGTGGAGAGCAGTATTCTCTGGCATATCCCAGCCTTTCCATGATCCCTCACTGAGGAGAATCTCTCTGCTTTCCTCTAAGATCTCCAGTGCAGAGCTGGGTCCCACCGCCCCCTTGTGCCAGCTGCATTTCCTGCTGACAGAATTAGTCACTTCTGCATCTGGTTTGTCCAGTTGGACAGAGCACAGTCACCATCTAAAAATACATCGTGTGGCTTACAGAAGGAGGAGTGAGAGGTCTGCTCTTCCCAGGATTGAGCTCAGACTCTGTGCAGAAGAGCAGGAACCCTCCAAGCGCTCTATAAATCCATCTATGTGCACTTATTTTCCAAGTTTCTTCATGGAGTCGGTACTCCAGGGGAAACTGAGGCATGAGAGATCTGGGACAGTGCCTGTCTGAACCTTTCCCTGGATTGGCTTTTCTGCCACAGCTGATGCTGTGACCAGTGTGGGTCACACTGCCTGTGGGGGGAGCCTGGCCATACCGGCAAGGACTGAGTGAGGAGGAGCAGGAGGAAGTAACTGCTGCAGTGACTAAGGCAGAGAGAATATCAAGGGAGGTTTTCTGTTAATAATGTTTATTTGAGCAGTTTCCTTAAGAAGGATGAGACAGTCAGACCTTGAGTCACTTGGGGCTAGAGACGGTTTCTGGAGGAGCCATGGACAAGGTGAGACTAGAATGTGTTCAGCTCCTCTAGTTTACAGCTGCTATTGTTCAGAGCATGCAAGGGAAATGTGCAGCAGCCATCAAGTAAAGGAGATTATCATTGCAGTTGTCTTTTTCTTGATTTAACTGTGATCTTTGAGTCTGTCTTACCTGTGATTTCATCTGGTTTCCATCTAAATTAGAGGATGGTGACAGGATATTTTTCCTCTCAAGTGTTGGATGCAAAGGGGATGTGGAGCACAGGGAGTGAGAGGGGCAGAGGCTGAGCTGCACTTGTGGGGCACAGGCGAGTCTGGTCCTCAGGTCAAACGGGTGGATTTTGTGCAGTGTTGCAGTGCATTGTAACTGGGTTTCTCGTGTCCAGGGAGGGTGCAGCTGCCGGCGCCGGGCATGGCAAAGAATGAGATGGGTCCTTGTTTCAGAAAGCTCGAGAATACATTAATTACCCCCGGGGAGGAGGGGCGGGGTGGAGAGGAAAGACTGGGCAAAGGCAGCAGGGTCGTGGTGTTTTTAAAGGGTATCACAGGGGTAGAGTCTGCGTTCGGGTCAAGGGAGGAGTTACTAGCAACAAAAGAGGGATAAGATCAAATTTCTGTCTCTTAGGAACAGGGGCATTCCACAGTGCAGAATGTGGGCAGGGAGGTTTCAGCCTCTTAGAGTTCAGCACACGGTTCCTCATCTGAGACCTTCTGCAGGGCCTGATTCATCATTCCAGCAGTGCTTGGGGGAGGCTTCAGCTTCTTCACTGGATATTGGGAAGAGTTTGCAGGAATGGCTGTTGCTTACCCAGGCTGTGATGGGTGAGGGCTCTTCACACAAGTGTCTGTGTTGGCTGAGGAACATATTGGCACCCATAAGGTGTGGGAATGCGAGAGGATGAGAGCTGGAATACAACACAGAGAGCGAGGAGGGAGGGAAACCTCTTCGGATCATGCCGCCTATCTGCTTGTAGTCACGGGGTAAGTTCTGGCAAGTAACAGTGTCAGTTGCTTGCTTGTGCACCTTGTGCTGGAGGAAAAACAAAAGTAACCTTCCCAGAAGTCCCTGCACTCCTGTCACTGCTCCGGTGTTGCTGCTGGCTCAGCTTTGGAGCAAGAACGAACTGATGAAGGCGTGCTGTAAACTCTCACAGGTTTAACATTTTTCATACTTTTTTTTTTTTTTTTTTTTTTTTTTTTCCCAAGGAAGGCAGATGGTGAGTTTTCCTGGCTAATTTCCTTGCTCCTAGGAGCAGTCCGTGTGCCTGTGTGTGCTGGAGGCAGAAGAGAGCTCTGTTTACCTTCTGATTTAATCACACCCATGATTTTCTCCCTGGGAAAGTTTTCTCTCTTCAAGGACACAATCTTTAGCTTAAAGGGGATGTTGCAATGCATCAGCCACATTGTGCTGTACAGCAGGAGCTCCTTGCTTGCTGCTCACGCTTTTTTCTGGCAGTTTGGTGAAAGAAAGTGTATGAATTCTGCAGAGGGCAGAAGATCCCCGATGCTGAAGACTTTTCTTATGGAAAATAGGTTTTCTTTGCAGTGCTTCCTCGCTGGCTCCAGAAAGTCTGAAAGTCTGGGGAAACTGATAGATCATTTAAGCACCTGAGAATGTCTTCTTGCCATAGGCTCCTTCAGATGTTAATAAAGAATTAAATACTTTGAAATACTTTGCTTCCTGCCAACAGCAGCAATGTCTTGTAAGTCCTGAGAAGGCTCAGCATTGTGAGCAGCCCTGTGGAGGGAGGGAGGATGTGCGTGCAAGTTTTGTGAACAGTTTCCTCTCTTTACCAGGTTTTGGGGGGTTTATTTCATGATTGGAAAACTGGTAGGAGCCAGTTTGGTAGACAGTGTGTCAAACTCCAGGTAGTTTTGACTTTGATTAAAGAATTTCTTGATTTAGGATGTCTCTGTGTATTTAAGCTTTGTTTTGTGTGTCATCTGTTTCAAAGTTTCCTTGGGTTATATCTTCAAGCTTTTCCTGTATGATCAGAAGCCAAACTATGATTAGAAGCAGTGAATCAAAGGATTCAGAGAATTGCCCATGGAATTGTCCTCTGCAGCCCTGCTAGGTCTGTTTATTTTGGAGGTGGGTGGATTTTGGGGATAGAAACAGTTCTTTCTCTCTAGCCTTAGGCAGTAAAACACAAAAATGAACGAATGCTCCTTCCTTGAACTGCCAAATTATAAAGTAAGAGGATTCTGAGAGCAGGTGATATGAAAACTGGTGGGTTGCTCTGGTCTTGGTGGTCATCTGGTGTTTGGAGAATATTAAACTTACAGAGTCGTTGACAAAAACTCGGAGTAAGGTGCCTGCCACTTCCCTTTTTGCTGTGAAGGGCCCTGGGCAAATATCACAAGGAGGAGTGGCTGCAGTGGGGTGTGGAGGGTGGGAGGAGAGCACAGGCATTGGGTGAAGAAAAGGGCAAAAGAAGTAGGGGAATGGTTCAAGTGGGAGCTGGGCTTTCCTGCCAGGCAAGGATGAGGAAAGATAAGATGAAATTCAGTGAAGAAATGCAGTAAAGATGGCTTTTTCCTTATGTCTGTACAGCAGGCTCAGAGATCCCTCTGTTAACAGGATCCCCTTTGCAAGTTGTTTTTCACAGAATCCCAGAGTGGTTTGGCTTGAAAGGGACCTTAAAGCCCATCCAGTCCCACCCCCCTGCCATGGGCAGGGACACCCTCCTCTTGACCAGGCTGCTCCAAGCCATGTCCAACCTGGCCTTGGACATTGCCAGGGATGGCAGACATTGCCAGCTTCTCTGGGCAACCTGTGCCAAGGCCTCACCATCCTCAGAGGGAAGAATTTCTTTCCAGTATCTCATCTAGCCATGCTATCTTTTAATTTCAAAGCCATTCCCCTGTGTTCTATCAAGCTATATCCCCCTTCTCCATGTTTTTCCCGAATTTAGGGGCTTGTGGCATTTGCATCAAATCAACCCAAGCTGTTGGAGTAGGTTTGTGTGAGCCTTGGGCTGAGAGAGGACAGGCAAAGTCTGACCCTGTGTTTGTGGTGACAGCATTACCCTTCTGGAGCACGGGGCATGTGGAAATGCTGCAGATCTGTGCGAGTCGGCACTTTGTGTTGTGGTGTCCATGCTGAGGTTCCAGAGGCCAGGAAGCTGCTGAATGCCTGCTAAGGAGAAAATGGGAAGGCGGAGAGCAGAAAGGTGAAAGATCCTCCTGTTTTGGGCCTTTGCAGCACTTGCAGAGCCCTTCCTGCCCAAGGGAGGCACAGATCAGAAGCAGATGTGGTGAGCTCTGCCCACATCACTGCCAGTGCTGGGAGGAGAGGATCCTCCAAGGTAGGGGTGGATCTGGGCCCCCACGATGTCCAACAGTACCAAGGATGCTGTGTGGGATCCTCAGAAAACATCTGGGTCTGGAGCTGTCCAACCTTCCCCCCCTGCCCCTGGGTGGGAGGTACAGATACACAGAGCAAGAATAGAGGAACAGAACTGAAGGTGTGAGAAAGTGAAACCTTGGGGCACCGGTGGTTTTACAGCTGATATAGAGCTCGATGCTTCAACACATCTTCCACTTCCTCACCTAGGCCATTATGGGGTGGTGATGACAATGAGAGCTGTGTCATTCCTCATTCCTCTCTTCCACGTCTCTTGTGGGTTGTGGTGATGTTTGGTGTGTTCATCTTAGATTTTTGGTTTATTTCTTTTAACAAGTATTTGTGCTGGATGAGAGATTCCAAGCAGAAACACAAGAGTGCTGGTGGCTCAGGAGGCATGACAGAGAGCTGTGAAAATGTCAAGGAAGGAAGCAGCTTGGTTTCTTCTTTTAGGGAAATGCTATTTATAGCATGCTGTGCCCCGTGAGCTCTGGGTGACACATCTGCACACAGTGAGCACTTTCTGGGGGTGAATTTTTCTCTGCAGTTTCATCTGCTGAGGCAGATCTTGGAGCTTGTGGGCTTGTGAACTGCCATGGTCACAGGACAGTGTGTGGACTTGCCCCTGAGTTTGCTTGGGCTTGTTATATTAGGCCCAAAAAGGAATTAGGTGTGTGCAGAAAAGAAGAAACCTTCAGGATTTGTCCTGCCATGGCTGTGGAGCTGCCAGCACTGAGGTTTGCTCTCAGTGCTGCTGCATTCCTTGTCCTCAGACCTGCTTCAGGCTGCTCTGTGGCTGGACCTCCCCAAGCCAGGCTTTGAGAACAGCTTTCCCACTGTCCTGCCTTCCCTCCTCTCCCAGGACATGAACAACCTGGACGAAGGGGTGGAGTTCCTCCCTGCCATGAATTCCAAGAAGATGGAGAAGCGCGGACCAAAGCGGCAGGTGGTCATCACTGTGCTGATCATTGTTTTTCTGCTTGTCTCCCTCACCACTGGCCTCCTGTTCTGGCACTTCAAATGTGAGTGTGATATCTGGTGGGTGGTGACATGTAGGGTAGCACCCTGGGAATGTATCCATCGACATGGAAAAGTTTTGTTACCTGGTCTTGCTCACATGTGCACTCTCAAGCTCTGGAGACACCGTTTCCACCTCCCTGCCCCAATTGCTGTCACTGGTGATATGCTGTGACACCAGTCCTAGCTCTGACTGACCTTCCTGACCCTTAGCTGTTCTCTTCCAGACAGGAACACACCTGTCCAGAAGGTTTTCAATGGCCACTTGCGGGTTCTGAACTGGGAATTCCTGGATGCCTATGAGAACTCCAGCTCTCCAGAGTTCAGTATGCTGGCCAAGAAGGTGAAGAGCACGGTAAGAGGTTTCTTGCCTCCCTCCTTCTGCAAGCAAGGAATTCTTCTCTTGTCCCATGGCCATGGAGATATGCCATGTAAGATTCCTTGGGGCTTTCTCTGCTCGCTTGTCACACTGGCTGGGAGCAAGGACCTTCTTTGGAGCTGGATCTTGACATCCTAGCTCCAGCCCAGTGCCATGGCATCTCCCAGTGCCATAGGAGCTGCCAGGGCATGTCCCAGAATCACTGGATGAGTCAGGGACAGGAACTGAGTCAGACAAGTGTCTAAAAGAGGCTGAAGCTGTGTCTGGTCTTTCCTCTTCCCTCAGGCTTGGGGATTCACTTCCCCCAGGGAGGAGTGGGTGAGCTGAGTCAGAACAGGCTGTGATGGGCAGCTTTATGCTCTTCTGGGGCTCTCAACTCTGCTTCTTTCTTTCTTTGGCTCTGCAGATTCCTGTACACAAGGATGCCAGGTATGTGCCCTGGTTTTCCTTTGCAGGCTTGAAGCTCTGTCTGTCTTTAGCCTTTTCCTTTCCCTCACTTCCAGACATGCTGAACACCCCTTTTTAACCCTTTCAGGTGGAGGAGATCTACAGGAATCATGCTGATATTGGTCCTTACCACAGAGAGACAGTAATCACTGCCTTCAGGTGAGTGTTAGGCACTGCCTGAGCCCCCATCTAGGATGCCAGGATATCACACCAGCCATTTACCATCCTTCCCAGGATGCTGGGATAGAAGCACCCCAGTAGTCACCCTGAGTGGCACAAGAAAGGGTGAGCAGTAAAAAGTGACCTGAAAATGCATTTTGTTTTCTGCCAGATGTCTTGGGAAAATCAAGGTGTGGTGCAGTGAACTGCAGTGAGTGGTGCCTGGTAGCATTGAGAGACTCCTCAGGCTGGCAGGGGCCTTTGCTGTTTGCTTAACTTGTCATTGAAACTCTCCTTTCCCTGTGGCCAGCCTCCAAAACTGGCTAATCAATTAGTCTGGCCCCTTCTTCTAGTGGTATTTGAGTCCTCCCATGTCTGTCCTTGCCCTCATCCCACAATTACCCTTTCCACAGTGAAGGCAGTGTCATTGCCTACTACTGGTCAGAATTCCTTGTGCCTAAATACCGGGAAGGGAGCCTGGACAGGGCAATGGCTGACAAGCAGAGCCTGGTGCAGAGGTGGAACCCCCGCCTGAGAAACCCCATGCTGAAGGTGGAGTCAGTCATTGCTTTCCGTGAGTATTGGTTCCACTGTCCCTGGGCCTCTGTGTGGGACCAGGTGGGATAATTCTCTCGAAGGAGAAGGTGCTGGTCACAGCCCTCTCATGGGAAAGCCAGCCTTGAGGGTGGTGTAAGGACCTGGATGTCACAGCACAGCTTAATGGTATTTACAGCCTAAAGGTGGCTACACAGACCTGCTCCCCTTTGCTGAAATGCTCTGTGTTCCCCTCTGAGTCCAGGGAATAGGGACAAGGATGAGTTCTCCCTCTGCAGAAGGAAAGTTTGCTCCTTCAGCTCCCAGAGGCCAGGAAGGAGCAGCCTCTCCTGCCAGTGTGCAGGGAGAGATTCTGCAAGTGAGGCCCGATCAATGACAGTCTGAGGAACAACCTCAGCTTTGTGCCCAGGGATTTCCCATAGCCCAAAGGGTGATGCCAGCTCTGTTTTCTCCTGCAGCTGTGGACCCCAGCATAGCTCACTCTGCCCGGGACAGTAAGTACAGTTCTTCCATCTCAGTGGTCTCTTTAGGGTGGTGTTTCTCTTGCAGGATGGGGAAGGGAGGGTTCGGAGAGGTGCTGTGCATGCAAGGCAGACTCCAGTGTGCTTCTTGGAGCTGGTTTGGGGTTGGACAGACTGTGGCATAGGCCTTGCTGTTTTCCAGGAAGAGCCATCTGCCCTGGGATATCCTGCAGGAATTATTCTCTGCATCCCAAGGAAAGGCAGGGCAAGGCTTCTTTGCCTTTTAACTGTTCCCTACTCTCTGAGCAGACAGCTGCATGTTCTCCCTTCATGCCAAGGAAGGGGAGGTCACCAGTTTCACCACGCCGGGCTTCCCCAACAGCCCATACCCCAACAATGCCCTCTGCTACTGGGCATTGAGGGCAGATGCCAGTTCCAGCATCAGTCTCACCTTCAAGACCCTGGAGCTGGAGCCATGCAGAGATGACAGTGACTACATCAAGGTGTATGACTCGCTGAGCCCTGTGGAGCCCCACGCCTTGGTTAGGTGGGTATTCCTGTATGGCACCAAGTCCAGGGTGATCCTGAGATGTCCTGCTCCTGCCCCTCCTCAGAGCTAAGCTGTGCTGCTTGAGGCTCCCTTATGCCAGCAGTGCCTTATGGATTCTGTCCTTTGCTTCCTAGGCTTTGTGGGAATTATGCCCCATCCTACAACCTGACCTTCCTGTCCTCCCAGAATGTCATGCTAGTCACGTTGGTTACCAACAAGGAGGGGCGATTCCCTGGCTTTAAGGCTGAGTTCTTCCAGCTCCCAAAGATGAAAGGTGAGCAGAGGCCTTGGCCTGTTTCCCCATGTCTCATGGGCAACTAAACAGGGAGGTGGCTGTGGCTGTAGTCAGTTTGTCAGGGATGTCTCCAGGGCTAGAGCATCTGGAAGCAGGTCACCCCTTGGTGCTTGCCTTGCCTACAGTGTTCTTGGCTGCAGTGAAGATGTCCCTCAAGGAGGCAAAAATGAGATGTTGGATTAGACATGCAGATTGCTGGAAGCACCTTATTGATCTCCTGGGTTCTCTCAAGCCTTGGAGCAGAGCTGCTCTCTCCAGAGAGTGAATTAACCTTGTTAGAGACTGTTGCCTCTGCCTCCAACGACAGCCAGCTGAGGCTTGGAAGAACCACATCTAAATCTCTAATTTGTTATTACCTTCCTGCTTGTTTTTAGCCTGCGGTGGGATCCTGAAGGGAGACAGTGGCACCTTCACAACTCCCTATTACCCAGCACACTACCCCCCAGACATGGACTGTGTCTGGAACATTGAGGTGAGATGGGCCCTCTTAACAAGTCTGTCAAATGACCCTGATCATACAGGACATGGTGCAAGGGAGCTCACAGCAGCTGGGGCTCAGAGGCTCTAGGTCTGGCATGACTGAGGGAGCCCTTAGGAGCTGGAGGCAAAGGCAGGAGAAGTTGCAAGAGGCCTGAACCCCACAGGAACCCATGAAAAGTCCTGTAACTTCACACAGGAAGGATGAGAGTATGGGATTTGGGACTGGCCAATTACTGGCTGTTGACCAAAGGCCTGGCTTCCACTCCTCTGTATGCCTGTTCCACTGGGGATTCTGGAGCTAGGGTGACTCCGTGACTTTTATGAAGCTGTTTCTTCTCCTGCTGGAAAACTGACTTCCCCCTTTTAGTTATCGTCTGTCCTCCCCCCAAGCACAACCCTCTTCCTGTGAAACTATTCCTTTTTCCTCGCTCCAGAAAGCAACATGTGCTTTCTTTTGCAGGTTCCCTCTATAAAGAACGTGAAGGTGCGTTTCAACATGTTCTTTGTGCTGGAGCCTGGGATCCCAGTCAGCTCCTGCACCAAAGACTATGTGCAGATCAACGGCACAAGGTGAGTGTTGGGTGGCTGAACCCATGGAGTGGCTTTATTTGGTTAGGAAAGGCACAGAACCTTGTGCTTTCCTTAATCTGCTGTGGGAACAAGTGTGCTAGTACTGTCAGGGCTGGGAGGAGGCAAGAGGGTGCCCAGAACTGCCTCATGATGAGTGGGAAGCCCCATACTTGGTTCTGTGGCGTGCTGCATCTGAACCGCCCCACAGATACTGTGGAGCATCACAGCACACAGCTCAGGTGTCAGAAGGCAGGAACGTCTGGGGTGGGTTTGCTTGAATGAGCAGCTCTCCATTCTCAGAGCACTCATATCCTGGAATACATTTCCAGATGCATTCCCCAGCCTGATAGAAGCTGGGCCAGACAGAAAACTTAATACCTCACAGGGAGGTGATTAATCTTTTTTTGCAATGTTTTGGACAAGGGAGCTGACCCTGCCTCAGAGAGGGGTTTCAATGTCAGCACCTGCCTCTGCAGTGCTGTTCACGTACATGATCCCACTTGGCCATGGTGAGATGGTATCCTGCATGAGTCTAATGTATCTAAGATCAGACACATGGGGCAGGCAGAGTTGTGGATGAACTTGTTCCCAGTCATTCCTAAAGTCACAAGTTTTTGTTTGCAACTGGCCCAAACCTTCTGCCAGCAGCAGCAGAATTCAGACCCTGAGGCCCAGTAGTCTGTGCTGGAATCAGACTTGTTCCCTGCTCTCCTGCCCGTTCAGCTCCCTGAGTGTGTAAGGAGATCAGGGATAGAAGGAAGTTTTCTTGGTGCTGACTTCCAGCCCTTTGACTCCTCTTTGCTCTCTCCCTGCAGGTACTGTGGGGAGCGCTCCCAGTTTGTGGTGGCCAGTACCACCAACAAAATCGAGCTCCGGTTCCACTCAGACCAGTCCTACACAGACACAGGCTTCTCTGCAGAGTTCCTGTCCTACGACTCCAGTGACCGTGAGTTGAAACACGGGGGCTGAGGTGGGGAAAGTGGTTTCCCTGAGATATGGAGCTGTCCCTCCTCTGTGTTTACACTGCCCTGTAAACTGGGAAGCAGCCTTTTCCAGGGGAATAGCAACATGCCTTGCTTTCCTGCAAACCTCCTGGTCTTCCTGTTGTGTTCTGCTGTAAGCAGGCATAGGGAACTCTGCAGAAGGGATGTAGAGGGAACACCAAGAGGGCTTATGTGTGGTTTTATCCCTCTCTCCCTCTCAGCCTGCCCTGGCAAGTTCACTTGCAATACTGGCCGCTGCATCGACAGGAGCATGCGCTGTGATGGGTGGCTGGACTGTGTGGACGGCAGTGATGAGAGGTCCTGCAGTAAGTCCAGCCTTGGTTTCTCTTTGGCAGAGCATGGGAAAGGCCATGTTGCCCTGGGGTGGTTAGGCTTGTTCTGGGTAATGTGACTTAGTTCTAGCTGGAACCAGCACTGCTGCCTTCCTGCAGGCTGGAATGAGACTCAGTGTGCAATTTGGGATCTCTTCTCAGCTTAAGAGCTGTGGGCTCCTGCAAATCCAGCCCTCTCCCAGTGACATCACTCTCTATTTCCAGTTCCTTGCAGCTGGGAATGTGTTTTTCTGTGTAATCCTACTGGTTATGGGTTTGGCTGAGCTGAAGGGTATGGAGGGACACATTTTATTACCCAACTGGGTAGGCTTTTCAGTGATTCTTACTCTGCCCTTCCAGCCTGTACCGAGCAGCAGTTCAGGTGCCAGAATGGCTGGTGCAAGCCAAAGTTCTGGGTCTGTGACAATGTGAACGACTGTGGCGACAACAGCGATGAGCTACAATGCAGTGAGTGACTCTGCCTGCAGGCACAAAGGGCTGAGGGCTCAAGCAGGCACACAGGGGTAATGGAGGCTCATGGGATGAAGGGAAGTGCTGTGCTGGAAATGAGCAGGCAAAAAACCCCAGGCATGGTAGGTGCTCACCTGATAGAGGTGAATGAGAGCACAGAGGAAAGAAGGGTGAGCAGAGGTGTAGGACTAGAAAGGGCTGAATAACTGAGTGGTGGTGTGCAGTTTGAAGAAGAGATTGGAGATACTATTTTGGAGCTGCAAAGGCTTTACTTGTCTCAGTGAGAGGAGCTGGGCTCAGCTGTGTGCTGAGGTGCTGCAGGATTTATGCCCTGCCTTCAGGAGCTGCTCTCTTGTCCCCAGGCTGTTCAGCTGACAGCTTCAAGTGCAACAACGGGAAGTGTGTCCCCAGCACACAGAAATGTGATGGCAAGGACGACTGTGGGGACGGGAGCGATGAGGGCAGGTGCAGCACAGGTGAGGGTTGGCTGCTGGATGGCTGCCAGCAAACACAGCCTCTGATGGAATTCCTTGGGCTGGGCACCCTCGTGTGTGTGTGTGTGTGTGTGTGTGTGTGTTTGCACGGGGTGTAAATGCCATGCCTTCATCCTGCCTGCATCAGGCCAGACCACAGTCCCCTGCAAGGAGTACACGTACAAGTGCCGCAGTGGACGCTGCATCAGCAAACAGAACCCTGAGTGCGACGGGGAGCAGGACTGTGAGGACCACTCGGATGAGGATAACTGCAGTGAGTACCTGAGGAATGGGGGAGACATGGGATTCTGGGCTGGGTCTCTCAGAGAAACACCCTAGTGTGGCAGAGAGAGCCCCTGGGTGTTTCTGTGCAGGAGCTTGATCTGGAAATATCCAGGCCATGTTCTTTAGCAGCCTGTGGGATATCTGTGTTATTCAGGAAGGCTTAGATGGGTATTACAGGGGTTTATCTCCCCTTTACAGAGTTGGCCGGTAAATGATGTAGCTAATTTAGCATCTGTGCAGAGAACATCGGCCCTTCCTGACATGGGCAGCAGGGTATTTGTGCTGTCAGATGTCCTGGAGGAACAGAGGGGAGGTGTGGGGTGGGAACAGGAGAAACCAAGCGTCCCTTCTCCTTCTCTGCCCTAGACTGTGGGCTCCGCTCCTACGTCAGGAAGTCACGGATCGTTGGTGGGCAGAACTCGGACGTGGGAGAGTGGCCGTGGCAGGTCAGCCTGCACGTCAAGGGCCAGGGCCACATCTGTGGGGCCTCGCTGGTGTCAGCAAGCTGGCTGGTGTCAGCAGCACACTGCTTCCTGCCACTGCAAGGCATCAGGTACCGGCCTCACATCCCTGTGCTTCCAGGTATTTCAGAGAATCACAGAATAAGCTGAGTTGGAAGAAACCCTCAAGGATCACCGAATCCGGCTCCTGGCCCTGCACAGCACCATCCCTAAGAGTCACACCATGTGCCTGAGAGTACCATCCAAATGCTTCTTGAGCTCAGTCAGGCTTGATGCTGTGGCCACTGCCCTGGGGAATACCTGACCACCTCTGGGGAAAGGAGCCTTTTCCTGATACCTAACTTAAACCTCCCCTGACACAATTTCAGGCTATTCCCTTTGGTCCTGTCACTGGGCACCACAGAACAGAGTCTGCCCCTCTTCTCTCCCTCACAAGGAAATTTTAACTGCAATGACATGTCCCCTCAGTCTCCTCTTCTTGAGGCTGAACAGACCAAGTGGTCTCAGCTGCTCCTTATACGGCTTCCCCTTCAACATCTTCATTGCCCTTCTTTGGAAGTTCTCTAATAGTTTAATACTATTCTTATATTGTGGCGACCAAAACCACAATATTCCAACCCTGACTCTGAGAGGCATTCCTCAAGGAAACTGTTTAAGGTAGTGAGCAGTGCTGTCTCCAAGATGAGGTCTCACCCTGTGTTTCATGGGCCCCATGCAGGTACTCAGACCCCAGCCTATGGACAGCCTACCTGGGGCTGACTGACCAAGGTGACCGCAGCAGCCCCAATGTGCAAACCCGCAAAATCAAGCGCATCATTTCCCACCCCTTCTTCAATGACTACACCTATGATTACGATATTGCTGTGCTGGAGCTGCAGAGCCCTGTCACCTTCACAGCTGTTGTCCAGCCCATTTGCCTGCCTGATGCCACCCACAACTTCCCTGTGGGCAAGGACCTGTGGGTGACTGGATGGGGAGCAACTGCAGAAGGAGGTGAGCACTGGCATGTGGTTTGGGGCTGCATTGATGTATTTTAAACCAGGTTGCCAGAAGAAGCTGTGGCTACCACATCCCTGGAAGCCTTCCAGACCATGTTGGACAGGGGTTGGAGCAACCTGGTCTAGTGGAAAGTGTCCCTACCTATGGCAGGGGGTGGAACAAGACAGGCTTTAGGTCTCTTCAAATTGAAACCATTCTGGTATTCTACAAGTCTATGATTTCTGTGCTTCTTGAGGGAAAATATAGGGAGCTGCTTAAAAATGTGTATTTTTACTTAAGACACTCCTCCATCTTGGCAGGTACGGGAGCTTCCATCCTGCAGAAGGCAGAGATCCGGCTCATCAACCAGACTGTGTGTAACCAGCTCCTGACAGATCAGCTGACGCCACGCATGATGTGTGTGGGGATCCTGACCGGTGGTGTGGATGCCTGCCAGGTAAGGCAGCACCTGGATTTAGTGCTGCTTAGTGGTTATTAGGCAGGTAGATGGGCCTTTGCTCAGCCCTGCTCATTCTGGTACTTCCACTTACATTTACATTTTTAACATAAATCTGTGGGAATTCTCCTGGATTCAGACAATGAACAGATTACAATGGGCACCAGCAGCAAGTTGTGTTGATGCATGACTTATGACTCCAAAACCACAGCCCAAAACCACAGGATTTAGACCCCATTTCACCAGATAGGACATACAGCCATACTCCAACTTCTGGCTGTTATTCAGAGTCTTAGTTAGCAAGCCAGGCTCATTGACTGGTATTTTATAGTTTTTTGTTCTGACACTGTGGCTCTTATTGCCATGCTTTAATATTTGTTTCAGGGAATAGCCAAAAAATTGTAATGACAGCTGACTTAGATGGGGATTTCCTGACTGATTATTTCTTGCTCAGTTTTTGTGATGACTTTAACACTGTGCACAAGGGTGATCTATATAGTTGGTGCTTATGCTCCTATGTGGTTCTGTGCAGGGAGACTCTGGGGGGCCCCTGGTCAGTGTGGAGCCCAGTAGTCGGATGTTCCTGGCCGGCGTGGTGAGCTGGGGCGATGGCTGTGCCCAGAAGAACAAACCTGGGGTGTACAGCCGGCTCACGAGCCTGCGAGACTGGATCCAGGAGCACACAGGCCTCTAGGGATGGATCCCTGCCTGGATGCTCTTGGACAGCAATGGCTGGAGGCACTTGGCAGTGCCAGCCATGCACAGCCTCTACTGTGAACTTCAACCCTCCCTCTACCTCGCTGCGAGCACCTGGGACTCCACGTGCAACCAGAGCTGATGGTTTGGTTTAGCCCTTAGTCTGAGAAATCTATGTTTGGAGAAGTTTCTCTTGTGGGCAGGGTAAGCTAGTGCCACTCCCATGAACAATTTGAATGAGCCATCACTCAAGATTACATATAGTAATAAACTTTTTAAAAAATCTAATTAAAAAAAAGACAGTTTGTGTTTAGAGGCAAACTTTATTGGACAAGTTCAAAAACAAGGTTTCAGCATATATTCTAAGTTGTGCATTTGTTTTCAAACAGCCATCCATACCCTTTCTCTAGTGTTCAGCCATAGGGGGGTTGAAGGGAGGTCTTACATAGTTTTGGGGGGATTCCGTTTGAGATCCCTCCCTTGTCCCACACCATGGTCCCCTCCTTCTGTCCTCTGTCCAGCTCTGCTTCTGACATGGCCAAGTCCAGGACTGGGGGCTGGAAGGAGAGATGTTGGGCTGAAACACCACCGCTCATCCTGAGGAAAGGCACAGGCAGAGATCAAATGCCATCACTCACCCCAAAGAAAGCCATAGGCAGGGCTCAAACACTATCACTCGCTGTGAGGGAAGCCACAGGCAGAGCTACTGGCACATGTGGAGACCTAGAGCCCTTGGCATCACTGGATTGTGCCTTAATGTCACACTAAGCTGAGCTGATGCAGCTTCTCCTGAGCCCCAGGTGCCTGGAATCACTGTGAAGAGCACAAGGGCTGCACTGAAATCTTCCTAGAGTGCTCCCCACAAGGACACCACCAGTCAGCTGTGCACACCAGCCTTACACCTATCTTAATTTTGTAAAGAAAAATGTGACTTGTGAATGTGCTGATTGTCTTCCTTTTCCTCTGTAGTCTGTTCCTACCCCAGCAAAGCACACTGCAGCTGAGTTAGTCCCTTCCTCACCTGTAAATACATTGTTTTGTAAAACTCTCAGAACTGAGATTCTGCAATAAACTGGGATATTTTCTAATACTGTGGCTGTGTGGTTCTTTCTGAGGCTCTGTGCAAGTGTTCCTGGTACAGAAACCTACAGCACAGACCCCCAGTGCTAAGGGAGAAGCTGAGCCTCTCCCAGTAAAACGCTTCACTACTGTTATGCACAGCAGCGCCACTGTGGTGGAGAGACCTGCAGAAATCTTCACAAGAAACAACTGTAAGCGCTCATAGGAGGATAGTTTGTGCCTCAGCCCTCCCCGCAGAGTTAAGGAACATTCTGAGATCTGTGCTTACACAATGCTACAGCAACACAAAAGGAACCATTTACTGTGGTTCTCTTGCCCAGGAAGCATTAACAGCACTTTTGCAGCACTGAGCAAATAAAAGTACAAATGTTTTCATTCCAGTGCCCCACAGTTTGCAGTTAAGCTCCCCAGACACTAAAAGCTTCCCTAAACATGAGTTGTTGTGGATGATGGTCCTCAAAAGATGTCTGCAATAACAGGATGCAAAAGGATGAAACAGTTAATGAAAAGACCCCAGCAGTTGGGTCCCAGCACCTGCACCCAAGGGAACTGCAGTGGGCTGTTCCATCACCTGAACACCAGACCCAGTGTCTACTCTCTCTCCCTCGTGCCCACATGCAGTTTGGGGTTCCTGCCACAACCTGCAGGATCACGGCCAAGCAAGAAGAGGGCAGAAGATGATTTTCCAAATTGAAGCCTGAACCTTGTGCTACCAAATCCACAGAGAAGTGTGTTCAGACAGGTTTTGTTTTACTGAGCACAGTGTCGCCTACCACAGCACCTTTCTTCCCACAAAAGCCCCATTCCACAGTCACTTCCCTATGACCGCGTACAAAGAGAGAAACAGCCCATGAACTGGCCACCAAAGGTCCGCCTTGCCACCAGGCCACCAGGACCATATAAAACCTCAGTTCCTGCTCCTTCATCGGGATTACAAATGAATAAATAGAAATGCAAGAAACAAAGACAAACCCCAGGTCCCTGAGCTCCAGACTCACTAGATGTCCCTCTCAGCCAAGGCACAAGGACTCCTGAAACAGAACTGCCAGAAAAGAGGTTTGGGAAGTGGGAAGGGACAGGCTGCAAATCCTAAATCTCTCTGGTGAAGTCCGGAGGAAAGGGAGCTAACAGGAGAAAGCAAGAATGAGTGGGCAAGGAATGGAAACAAGTTTAGGCAAGATGGAGAACTGAGCCAGGCAGCTCAGAGCAACTGGTTTTGCCTGCAGGGTGCCCAGGTGGGGTTCTGTGGGGGAAAAGCAGTTCTGAATCACCCTAAAAAGTTCCATCCCTTAGGAAAAAGTTCAAGAGTTTGCTGAGAGCCACCAGTCCACTTGAGTTTTATTTCCCTCATCAGTCTATCAGCAACTCACTGGATTTCCCCCCTGTGCCTCAGCACTCAGGCATCAGAGAAAACTCCTTTACTTGTTTCATGTGAAAAGGAACCCCTTGTCAGACCTGAAAAACTGCATTTCATGTTCATGCAGCACATTTCTTACAACTCAGGATTCTGGCAACACAAACCAGCCCCATTTTGTGCTCAGTTCTGGTCAGGGCAAAATATCACTGAACTGGGAATGGGAAACTCAAGAGTCCTGTCAAATTATGGCAATGCCAGGGGTTTGTGTAATTCGGCAACAGGTCAGGCTTGTCCCCCTGCACGGAGTACAAGGGGCTGACATTTTTGTCTCATTGCACCCATCTCCTTAGAAACTGTGAGAAAAGTAAAGAGATCAAGGAGCCCCATTAGCAAGAATATACCAACTGCTCAAGAGAAGCCCAGAGAGACAACTCTGGGACACTGCTAAGTTGTTTGCTTACTGTGAGCATTTTAGTGCTATAAACAACTGCAGGGCTGGCAAGTACCTTCTCTGACATTAATTCTTCCTGAATACCTCACCTCAGCAGAAATCTGCAGTGATCCCCCTGGCAGAACAGCTGGCTACAGACAGGACACACAGGGATAGGAACAAGCAGGAGAGGTTTTGTGACATGAGGAATGGACTGGCAGCATATCTTCAGCAGGAAATACAAGCACTGCTCCTTGGAGCAGCAGCCACCCAGTCTAGAGCTCATTGGCATAGATAAAGCCTTTCACACCTGCTGCATTTACATCAAGAAGGATGACAGCTTCTTTAGGAATACACGGAGCTTCCAAAGAGCAAGGAGAAATTGTTGCTTTGTAGACTGCAGTAGGTGCAATGCTGCCAGATGTCTGATCTCACACCACAGCAGTCTCACACCACTTGCCAAAAGGGTGATCTCAGCTGTGTGTGCTGCATTATTAAACATTTGTGGAAGACAGAGGGAAGCTGTGCAGGGATGGGGTGAGTCAGGCTGCAGAGGCTGGAGGCACCACCAAGTACAGAACTGACAGGGTTAAATCCAGATATGGGGAGGACATGGAGGGGGGCTTCAGGTAAGCAAAACTGGCAGTGGTGACCAACAGGGAGAGCACGGCCAGGTGAGGGAGGCAGGTGGAAAAGGCTTTGTGCCATCCCTGCTCAGAGGGGATCCTCAGCATAACCCTGAAGATCTGCACATAGGAGAAAACCATGAACACAAAACAGCCAAAAGCTATGAAGGTAGTGAAAACAGAAACCCCAACTTCCCTGAGTTTGGAGTGTGAGTAGGAGAGCTTGAGGATGTGTGGGATTTCACAGAAGAACTGGCCCAAGGCATTGCCCTGGCACAGGGGCAGGGAAAATGTATTGGCTGTGAGCAGCAGAGCAGTGAGAAAGGCACTGGCCCAGGCAGCTGCTGCCATGTGGGCACAAGCTCTGCTGCCCAGGAGGGTCCCGTAGTGCAGGGGTTTGCAGATGGACACGTAGCGGTCGTAGCACATGACAGTGAGAAGGGAAACCTCTGCTGAAATGAAAAAGACAAACAGAAGCAGCTGTGCAGCACACACTGAGTAGGAGACAGTGCTGGTGTCCCCGAGGGAATTGTGCAGGGCTTTGGGGGACAGTGGTGCAGATGGAGCCCAGGTCGCTGAGGGCCAGGTTGAGCAGGAAGAACATGGGCGTGTGCAGGTGGTGGCCGCAGGCTACGGCGCTGATGGTGAGGCCGTTGCCCAGGAGGGCAGCCAGGGAGATCCCAGGAAGAGGCAGAAGTGCAGGAGCTGCAGCTGCCATGTGTCTGCCAGTGCCAGCAGGAGGAAGTGGCTGATGGAGCTGCTGTTGGGCATCTCTTCACTCTGAGAATCATGGACTATTGAAAGAAGATATTGACAAGCTGGGAAAGATTTCATTGTGTCATTCCTACGCTTTTTTATTAGGAATCCCCTCAAAAATACTTCTTTTTTTTGGCTGAACTTTGCTCAGCCTTTTTTCTCCGAGCTCTGGTTCATGCTGCTGCCTCATCTTCGACACTGCTCTCAGCCTGAACACTGGGGAGCCCAGAGGGAAAACAGGGCTCCCTGTGCCCCAGTGCAGTCAGACCTGCTGGTCCCACACAGGTGCCCTTTGCTCATTTCACCTTCCTCTATTTCAGGGCGATCCCACTTCAAACAGGCTTGAAAAATAAAGTAGTCTTTTTGAAGACTTCAGTTTCATTGTCAGCATCTCTAAATTTTTCTACATTTCCCTGTGCAGCTGGAAATGGAGGGATACCAAGGGTTGGTCTGGCTCTCTGCTTTTTTTGTCAGTGCTGCCCAGAGTGCTTTTGTGATGGGAAACTCAGACTTTTTCTCAGCGGCATCATGATTAGCAGATCTTGAAATGCTCTCAAGTCCCTGAGCACTAAGTCAAGGAGTATTAAAGCCACACAGGCCACATTTGCAGTGCTCAAACACAGCCTGGCTGCTGCTGCTGATGAAATAGAGTCAAGTGACAGAGGCAATCATAGAAATTGTGTCTGGAGCATCAAATCAAATGAAAAAAATCCACCAGGAGAAACCATAACTTCTCGACTCCCTTCATTGTTTCTTCTGAGCATCAGCAGAAAATGGAGATGCCCGAGGTATTTCCAGCTGCTGCTGATCCCAGTGGAGCCCAGCCTCTGCCCAGTCCCAGTGGGAACCTGAGCCCAGCCCGGGGAGCTCCCGCAGCATCGGGAGCTCAGCGCACGCGGGGCCAGGCCCAGAGCCCCGGGCACGGCCGCCCATTGCGGGGCAGCGGCGCAGACGGAATGTCCTGCGGCCCAAACCTCCTGCTCCTGCCACACAGCGCCCAGCCTTCTTCCCCTCCTCCTCCTCTCCCAGCACGGCACAAATTCCAGCTCGGAGGAGGCTTCCCCAGAGAGGGCTCCGGCTCCTGCCTCAGCCTGAGTGTCCCTGCAGAGGAACAGGGCATCTTTCAGGCACTTCCACAAGCTCAGGCTTCCCATTTCATGGGGAATCTGGCATGAAAATTACCTTGTTAGGAAGGACAAAAGCAGAGGGATTGGATTGCAAATTATTAAGAAAAATGATCCCTCTTATAGACAAAGATCACCAAGTCATTGCCTGCATTTCTCCTTTTCAGATTCTTTCAGTCATCTCCTGAGAGGTCCAGCTTGTTCTGGTGCTTTCCATGAACTGATTCAACTCTTGATTTATATCAGTGCATGAGATGTAGAAGCATCTAAATTGAACACAGAAACAAACTCCCTCTGTCAGCCCATTGTCATCTTCTAGACCACTTTCAAGATGTCCATGAGGATGATGGAATGATTAACACACAGCTCTCCATTTCTGGCTGCAGGCTCTGGAGATTCTTTCTCTGCATTCAGTCAGGCCTGCATTCCCTAACAATTCCTGGTAGCCCGTCATGTTTTCTTAGGGTAGAACAGTAACAATGAAAACCTTACCAATGGCACAACTGCCCAGCCCACAAGGAAAAGAAAGAACAACTGTCAAGTTCTTCATATATTTGTCCTGCTTTGCTGCAAGAGTCGTGCTGCACACACGGTGTGGAAAGCCAAGAGAAGCTGCAGTTGGTGGCACATCTTGTGACAGAAGCTGCACCTTGTTCTCCAGGAAAGGTTCTTGGAAAGAGCAAACAGGACTGTGAAGAAGATTCTGGAAAAACGGAAGCATCTTTTAATAAAATGAAATGGAAAGAAAAAATCCAAGAAGTTTTTCTCTGTTTTTATGCTCCCCTTTTCCATCTTGCACTACTTCTCCATCCCATTAATTCCAAACAGATCTCACCTCTAAGATCCATGACATGGCAAGTTTAGACAGTGTAAAATACCATGAGCTGCGCACAGCTTGCCTTCCCCTGGTTTTCTTGGAAAGCAATGCTGGAGACTAAGTGCAGTGCTTGGGTCAGGTACAAATTCAGCATTCAGGGAATGCGCTCCGATAGTGTTTGACCCTCAGCAGGGACAATGCACAACAGCGACCAAGGGGATTCCTCGGCCCCTGGGCAGGAGTCCAGACTCTGGGTCTTGGCTGAACAGGGCAAAGTTCCTGTGTTTGGACAGGCTCAGGGGCTGCCGTGGGGAGCGTGGGGCTGGGCGCGGGGGCGAGCGGGCAGCGGACACACGGACACGGGAACAAACAGCCCTGGAGCTTCAGCTGAAGCGGCAGAAGAGAGTTCATTTACGTTCTCTTGCTCCTCCTCTCCCTCTCCCGTAGTTCCACACCCTCTCCCGCTCTCCCTTCTGCACTGTCTCCCTCTCCCCCTGTCCGGCCGGGCCATGTCCCCGGCCCGCCCCCGGCCCCGGGCGGGGCTGCCCCGTCCCCGCCCCGCCCATCCCGCCGCGGTCTCGCCTCCGCCCGGCTCTGGGCGTGCTGGCGGTGCCGCTGCCGGGCGGCCGTTAGTGCCCGGGGCTGGAACGGCATCGCCGCCCTTTGGCTCCGCCTGGCCCGAGCCCGGGCCCGGCCCCGCCGTGGGCTCCGGTCCCGGCCCGGCCCTGGCTCCTCCCGGGCCCCGCGGAGGACACAGCGGCGCGGCCGCTGCCGCCTCTGCTGCGGCTGCCCTGGCCCGAGCTCCGCCGCTCGGCAGCGCGGCCGCCGGCCCCGAGCAGCCGCTGTCCCGGTGCCGGGAGAGAACGCCTGGGGATGGTCGGCCCGGGGCGCTCGGGGGGCACTCGGGGCCGCTCCTGGCCCCGGGCCGAGCGCTGACAGCCGCGTCCCACCCGCAGGGAAGGCGTAGCAGGGCCTGAAGGAGCGGTACCGGCTGGGTTCGCCTTCGCTGCCACGCGGCTCTCGGACCGCGCCCGAGGAGCGGCGGGGCCGGCAGCGGGCATGGAGGAGGGGAAGGAGGATGGGGCTGGGCAGGGCAGGCGGCGAGCTCAGCCGGCTGCTGCCCTTGGCTTGCAGGTGACCATCAAAAGGGTGCCAGGGAACCACGTCCCGCACTGGGGCGAGCTGGTGAGTGAGCGGGGCCAGCGAGAGAAGCCGGGCCGTGCCGGGCGGGGATGAGCTGAGGCCCAGTAGGGTGGAAGACGCCAGGACGCCTCGAGGGAGAGCGGGCGTGGGGCCAGCGCAGGGCGCAGAGCATCCCGGGCTGCATGAGGGGTTCCCGACCCCCGGCACGGCATCAGCCCCACTGACGGCATCGTGGTCTTCCCCAGCCCGATGGCACCAGCGCACCCTTGGAGATCGTGATGCTGGACAAGGTGCCCACTGGCTTCCCCGGTGTGGTCCAGCTGCTGGATTGGCTTGAGCTCCCCAATGACATCTTGATGGTGCTGGAGCGCATGGAGTGGTCTCAGGACCTGCACCATTTAATTCGGGCACAGGGGTTCCTGTCCGAGGAGGAGGCGCGGGAGCTGTTCCACCAGGTGCTGCAGGCCGTGTGGCACTGCACCAGCTCCGGGGTCCTGCACAGGGACATCAGGCCAGGGAACATCCTGGTTGACCTGGACACCAGGCAGGCCAAATTGATTGACTTTGGCTGTGGCACCTACCTGCAAGACACAGCCTACACTCACTTTGCAGGTGAGCCTATGCAGGGGTGTGCTCCTGTTTCCTGACATCTCATGGCCCAACATCTCACAGCCCAAGCTGGGTGTGGCAGTGGGGATTCTCCCTTTTGCTGCCCATCATTGCACTGAGATTTCAGCCGAATCATGTTTGAGCAGGGCTGTGTGGGGAGCCAGCTTCCAGCCCTGCTGGCAGCTTCGCTGGCCACTCTGCCCAGGTCTGGGGCACGGGCTGGGGCAGCCAGCCCAACAAAAACACCCATGGGTGGGGGTAGCAGAAAGGTGGGGCCAGAACCTGTGGCCCAGCCAGTTTGGTGTGCAGGTGAGAAAGGGCTTGGTCTGCTCCACTCACCTGGTTTGCTTTGGATTCATGATATTTTTTGGGGAAATGCAGCAGGGAGGATGAAGGCATTTTTCCCCAGCACTGAGGGGGCTTTTCCTTGTCATGGTCATGCCTTGCCGGGGCTTCTGCTGCCCTCTTCCAACACCAGTGGCATCTTTTCCAGCCCCAAGTCTGTACAGAAGTCCCAGGTGCCGGCAAGAGGGCAGTAGGTCACCCCATGTGCCACTGGGGCAGCCCCCGCACGCCCAGGGCTGCTGGGGCCAGGCTCTTGGAGCAGCAGCATCCCCCCTGATGAGCCCCATCTGTATTCCACAGGAACATGGTCATACAGCCCCCCGGCATGGACCCACTTTGGCTGGTACTATGGCAAGCCAGCTACCATCTGGTCCCTGGGCATCCTGCTGCACCAGATTGTCTGTGGGGAGCACCCTTTGAGGAGGGGCCGGAAGATCAGCTGGGACCATCAGCTCTCACTGCCACAATGGCTCTCTCCAGGTGGATCCTCATCTCTGGCCACGGGGGCAATACCAGTGCTGGGAGACAGCAGCGGGCTCGTGAACATCTCGCTCTGGCAGCCGCTGAGGAGGTGGCACATGTCCTGCTCTCCTGCTCTCCTCCAAAACAGGGAACTGATGGAAAGTTTAGGCCCAGCTCTGAGCACATCCAGCATGGCCTGGGCTCTCTGTGGGGCAAAGCCAGTGGGAGCCTTCTCCAACTGACCGGCGGTTTCTGGTTTCTCTGCCCAGAGTGCCAAGATCTGATCAGGCGGTGTTTATCCATGCTGGACTTTGGAAGACCCTCATTAGAAGAGCTGTTCTGTGATCCTTGGATGCAGGATATTCATCTCTCCTAGAAGAAGGGAGAGAGCGGCAGGCACACTTGGATGCAGGGCCCTGGTACGTTCCAGCTCCACACATGCCTTGGCAATGAGAAGCAAAGGAAGCCAGACTTTTTTGTCCTGCCTGTGTCACTGCCCAGGGGTCATCAGATGGGAACATGCAGCCCTTGTGCTGGAGCTGAGCTGCTCTCCCCAGCACTGATGGCCGCCATCCAAGCTGGTTTTGCTTGTCCTGGTTCCCTGACAGCTGGGGCCCTGGGCAGAACCCTGACAGCCTGGTCTCACCCCCAGGGAAGGAGAAGGAGCCCCTGGAGAAGCTGTACCAGGTGGGGTAGGGGCTACTGCTGCTGGAGACAGTGAGGAGGACATCAAGGATGACAACCTCTTCCTCCACCTGGTCAGCAGCAGGCTGAAGATGATGGACTTTGATTCTGGCACCTTCTTCAAAGCCAGGCTCCACAGGGAATTTGCAGACGAGTCCACACGCAGGGGATGCTCACAGATTTGGGCATTGCACAGCCTGGCCGGGAACCAAAGGTTCCCCTTTGCTGGGGCGGATGCAGCTGATCCTTCAGTCAGCTGCCAGGCTGCTTTTGGCAGGGCTGGGGGCATGGGCTGGGGTGGGTACGAAATGGGAGTGGGGTCCTGGCCCTGCCAACAGCCCCCAACACCCACCGTGCCCCGGGCTGGGGCTGGGCTGGGGCAGCCAGCCCGACACGAACAAACCCCCATGGTGGGAGCAGAGGTGGGACTGCAGACCCTGTGCAGGGGCTGCTTTGCTTTGCAGGCAAGGAAGGGCTTGGGCTGCTCCACTGCCCTTGTTTGCTTTGGGATCACCGTTATTTTGGGGGGCAGTGCAGGGGCGAAGGGAGAAAGCCTGGGCTTCCTCACCTGTGCGTGTTTTTTTCCCTGGCATGCAGGGGTTGGGCCTTCCTCAAGCCCCTGACAGAGATAACATTTTTGACCTTTTTTCTTGTTTCCCCTTTTTGTCTGCAATCTATTTTCAAGAATTTGTTGTGTGTTTTTCTAGAGGAAGTGTTCTAGGTGGGGTCCAGTCTGGATTGGGAGGTGCTTGGGAGCAGCTGCGGCGTGGATGGGCCGTGCCCTTGGAGAAGGCTGAGGGCATCGTTTGGGACCAGCTTTTCTTCCAGCGGGGGATGGCGTGAGGTGGGTCCTGTCTGCTGGGGATGGTGGGATCAGAGATTTGAGGAGATGGCAGCGAGCACAGGAGCATCCTGCTCTGGGCAGCTGGATGTGCCGTGGCTGGCTGCAGGCTGGGCACATGTCCTGCCCTCCTGCTCTGCTCCCAAAGGCAGCAGTGATGGGCGGCTCTGGGCACAGCTCTGGGCACGGCCAGCATGGCCTGGGCACCGTGGGTGGCTGGGACAAGGGGACAGAAGCCTTCAGCTGACAGGCGGTTTCTGGTTTCTCTCTGGCTGCTCTGGGCTCTGCCAGGGCCCTGCTGGAGCTCAGCACTGGGCCTCAGTCTGCCAAAGAAGAAATGGGGTGATCTGCAGCAGCATTTCAACGACACTGCTCAAGTTTGGAGAGTGTACATCTCCCAGGGAAAACATGCCACCACCCAAAAACTACACTTGTTCAATAACTTCTGAAATTAAATCAATCTGGGATGACCCCAAATGACGTTTTCCAGCTTGCTCAAGCTGTAGCTCAGCCCTTCTCTGAACACTTCTCTCCCCCACCTGCCTTTTACTTTCCAACTGCTTCCTCTTTTCCCCCAGTGAGTTCCCAGCCTGTTCCAGTCTCCATCACACTGTTGCCTTCCTTGGTGCCCCTCACTATGAGGAATGCCAAGCCCCAGGCTTAGGAACTCATCCTGTCACTGGCTGAGGAGCAGCAATATCTCAGAGGTCTGCTGGGATTTTAGTGTCATTCAGAGCTGCTCTCCAGCCCCCAGCTCTCCTCACTGCTGAGTGCCCACTCCCTTTTCCTTGTCCTTGCAGCAGGATGAGCTCTGTGAATCCCCTTGAGCCTCCCCACTCTTCCCGGCCCACGCACCCGCCTCAGGCTGAAGCTGAAGCTTCTCTGTCTCCTCTGGCACACCTGTGCAGCCCCCTGTGTGGGGAGCCCCAGCCCCAGAGCACAGCACTCAGTGGTGCTGTCAGGGCTGGAGCAGCTGCCCTGCAGCCCTGGCTTGGCTCTTTGTGGCAGGGAATGCTCCCTGTGTGCAGCTGTCCCTGCAGGATGGCCCCAGGGCAGAGCCCAGCCGGGCTCCCACTGCAGCTCCTGAAGCTTGGGGCAGACAGTGGTCCCAGAGCTGAGGTTCACAGGGAGCACCCGCAGCTGTGCCTCGCACTCTGTTGCCGTGTCACCGTGCAGGCTGGCTTGTGCGGGGTGAATGTACCAGCCCTGGTTTGACTGACAGGGGCTGACCCATCACATCTCTCCCAAGGCTGCAGGCATTCCCCAGGCCAGAATCTGAAGGGGCACAGAGATCAGACCAGTGAAATCATCCAGACTGGGCTTTTCAAAGGCCCTTTAGAAGGAAGGGCTTGAGGATAAACACTCTCTCTTTTCCACATGAACATGGGGATGAGTGGTCTCTTTGGCTCCAACCCACTTTCCCCCCCAAGCCGACGTTACCCACTCCCTCACACGTCCCCCCAGTGCCTTCCCACTGCCTTGTCCTGTCAGGGCTTCCGCAGCCCCTCATCCCTTTGTGGCCCCGTCCTCTCAGGGTCTCCCCCAGCCCAGCCAACCTGCCTGGCAGCAGTGCCACAGCCCCACAGGAGCTCCAGAGGAGCCCCATCAAGAGGCACCTTGGAGCCCTCAGCAATCCAGCCAGCAACACACAGGCAGGAGGACACAGATGGCCCTTTCTGGCTGGGTCAGGGCTTGTGGCCATCTCCAGGCACCGCTCTCACAGAGATTCCCTCAGCTCCAGCCCCTGCCCATCTGCTCTGTGGGCAGTAAAAAGGCTTCAGCTGAACCACCAAAGGCCAAGGGGCTTCTGGCCATTTTCCCTACAACCCTGCATGCCTGGGCAGCTTGATGAGCCGAGGAACCCTTTTCCCCCTCTTCCCCTAGGCCCTGCAGAGCCTGGGAAGCAAAAGAATGATCCTGGGAGTCTGTCTATTACAACACATCCTATATTTATATGCTAAAGAAAAACAAAAAGAAGGAATGAACAGTCTTGAAGAAATTAAACATTCCTGCTGGCTCAGGTGGCCCCAGCAGACAGAGCCATTGGGATCAGTTCTGTGCAGAGCTCCAGCAGCGCAGCCAGCCGAGCCCCAACAGACGAGGACGTGTCTTCCATGCCCTGCGGAACTGATCATGCAGGTTGTCAAAGATGGAATATCGAGCTCTCTCTACTGCCTGGAGGACGCACAATGTTTGAATTGCCAGGCTTCTGACGGGGACGCTGATGTCATTTGCCATGCCTTCAAGGGCTGAGAGAGAGAGGAACAGAGCCATGGTCAGTTCCCTCATCTGAGGGGACCCGAGGAGAGCCCCGTGCCAGGGCCATCCCAGCCGGCTCTGGCCATGGCCAGAAGGGAGCAGAGACCAGCTGGATCAGCCCGAAGCTGCTGGCCAGGAATCCCCCAGGTGCCCTGAAACCTCTGTGTGCTCTGCCCATGCCGTCCCTGGTCCGCACAGGGAGCAGAGCCCTCCGCAGCCGGGGCAGGGCTCGCAGCTCCCCGCCAGCCCCCGCTGGCAGCCCGCTGCCCTCACTCACCCTCAGAGATGAGCTGGAGCTCTTCCTTCCTCCCCCTCAGGTACCGCCCGGCTGTCCCTGGGAACACAGAGCCTGTCAGGCCCGGCGGCACAGCTCCCTGCCAGCGGCGCTGCCAGCCCTGTGCCCACACGCCCTCCTGGCCCGGCTCGTGGCTCACCCATGAACCTGACGGCCGCCTCTCGCAGGGGCTCCTGTGGGCTCTGCAGGTAGGGCAGGGCCCGGTGCAGGTGCTTGGCCACGCTGCTGCTGTCCTCTGCCAGCTGCAGAGAGCGGCAGGAGGGAAGGGTTGGCTCCGCAGCCCCGCCGGCCCGGGGCTCCATGGGCACCCGGCTCGGGCCGCAGGAGCCTGGAGCAGAGCCCGCGCGGCCTCGGGCTGCAGCAGCGGGCAGGGGCACAGCTGCCAGCCCGCACACCGAGCACCGCGCTCAGGGGGCTTCTCCAGGCTGGGGCTGCGGCTTCCCAGCCCTCCTTACCAGGCACTCGGTGAACTTCCACAGCTCCTGGTTCTTCACCAGTTTTTCAAGATCCCTCCTCTTCAGGAGCTTTGTGGCACAAAGCAACATTTCCTGAGAAGCCTGGAGAGCAGCAGAGACACAGAGATGGCCCCACAGCCCAGGGCGCAGGACCCTGTCCTTGTGCCAAGGCCTGGAGGAGGCTGCAGCCTGCGAGGTGCCAGGGCAGGAGGCAGCCCAGCCCCTGCCAGGGAACAGCAGCAGCTGCCGAGTCCTCACCTCTGCCACTCGCTCGTTCTCATCATGGCAGTGGAAGAAGAGTGGCAGCAGGCTCTGGCACACGTGTGTCTTCAGAGCCTCTTTTTCCTGTGGAAAAGTCATCAGTGTTTGGAAGAGCAGTATGGAGAGCAGCTGCACTTGGCTATTGTCCTGTATGAAGGGAAGAAAAAGAGACCTCAGCATTGGCTGCATGGGGCTCAGCTTGGTGCAGGCCTGCAAATCCACAGGGCACAAAGTGTCTGGGCAGCAGCCAGTGGCTGTGGCTGGGGGCAGTGAGCCTTACGTGGTCAAGGAGTGGCAGGAGCGCCTCAACCAGCTGCAGTGTGATGGGGCTGGCTATCAGCATGTCCTTGTCCAAGAAGATACAGCTGAGGAGCATGGCTGTCATGCTAACTATCTCTCCATCCGCATCCCACAGGAGCTCCACAAGACTTTCAGTCAGGCTCCACATTTTTTCTTCCTGTGAGGAACACAAGTTTGTGAAATGCCATCCTGCTGCTGCAGGGCCTAGAGGCCAAAGGGCTGTTCCAAAGCACTTGAGCAGCTGAAGCGGGAGGCAGGAGAGTTGGGAGCAGCTGGCCCAGCGCCCAAAGCCCAGCCAAGCCCAAGTGACTGCATTCCTGAGCGCAGCCTCTTCCCCTGCCCCCTTCTCACCATCGAGGGATCCTTGATGAGCTCGAGAAGGGCCCTGAGCGCCAGGTGACGCCTCTCCTTGCACTCGCTCCTCAGGTGCCTTGACAAGATTTGCAGGACTCTGTCAGCACCGCGTTCACTCAAGTCCAGGCACTCGAGGACCTGAAAGGCACAGGGCAGTGACAGGGGACCAGCCAGCAGGAGCCCAGAACCGCACAGGGCCGGGCCCAGGCAGCAGCACAGGGCGCGGGCACCGTCCCAGGCAGCTGCGGCTAAGAGAGGGCAGAGAGCCGGGAGGCAGCTGAGCGAGGCAGCACTGGCCTTCAGGCTCACCTCCACAAGGAACGCCAGGGAGGGCAGCTCCCAGCATGGCTCCTGTGTGCTGAGCAGCTGGAGCAGGTAGCGAGCGATCCGAGAGCACAAGGGGATGGAGACACAGGACATCTCCCTGGCAGAAGACAAAGTAACCAAGACTGTGGGCCAGGGGGACAAACCTCTCCCAGGACTGACTCACAGAGGTCTGGTCTTTCCCCAGCATCCTGCAAGGGCCCCTGGGCTATTTGGGAGGCGGATCCTTGTGGGAACCCTCCTCTCCCAGCCTTTTCCAGTCTGCTTGGCTGTCCCTCGGTGACAAGGCCCTCTGGCCCATGGCCACAGAGACTGTGTGGGGCACCCCAGGCACAGAGCACAAATGTCAGAGGCAGCAGTGTGAAGGGGGTCTCACTTGGCCAGCAGACCCACGGCATAGTGGTAGGTATCAGCACACAGCAGCGTGTCCCAGCCACACTTGTGTTCCATTGCAACCACCACATCCTCGTGCTGCATTTGGCAGAGCAGGGACTTCAGGGTCTGCACTGCAAACCTGTGTGCAGAGCAAAGCCCGGGTCATGCTGGGAGGCCCGGCTCCCGCCCAGGGATTTGGCAAGGACAGGAGGACTGGCATGGAGCACCTGTTGGGACTGGTGGCAAGGCCATGTTGCTGCTGGCATCCCTTCCAGAAGGTATCGACCTCCTCTGGCATATCCAGAGTGCTGAAGAGCACTTGGAAGAGCAGATGGACAAATAGGTGGGGGAAATACACGGTCACCATATGTGGGACACAGGGCATCTGGAGGATCTTCCATATCACCACAGTTGCCTGCAAAGGACAGAGCAGCCCGAGACAGTGCTCAGTGTTGAGGTGTTCATGTGGCAGGGCCCGAGCACAGGAGGGAGAGGCCCGGAGAGACACGGGGGGAGCACCGGGCCTGGTGGCCCTGAAGCTGCCCCGAGGCCAGGTTTCAGCCCAGCGCCTGAGGTAGGGAGATGCACTGGGGGAATTAGGATGGAGAGCTGCTGGACAGGCGGCCTTGGGGCCAGCAAAGGCCAGTTGCAGAAACTCACAGCCAGGTCAAAGACACCCGTTTTGTCCCCATCAGAGGTGCACGTGCTGTGCTCTGGCCAGCTCCACAGCACATTGAGGAGTATCAGCAGCGCCGACTCCACAGTCCTGGGTGAGCACATGATGCTCTTCCACATGGTCAAAGCAGCTCTGCGGGGTTAGAGCTCTGTCTCAGGGGGTCTGGGACACAGCACCATGGCCTGGGCAGCAGTGGGGACCTGAGCTGGCTGCCAGCTCTGCCTCTGCCCACTGCCCCTCACCAGTAGCACTCAGGCAGCCCAGCCCTGTAGGGACGGGCCCCTGAGGGGCAGCGAGGGAGCAGCAGGCTCGGGGCTGACATGCCAGGGCTGGCAAAGGGAGCAGCCAGAGGGCACTGGGACTCTCTGTTGGTCAGACACCTGGGGCAGGCTGTACAGGGTGATGGGCTGGGGAGCCGTGAGCCCTCTGGGCAGGTGGGCCCCATACCTGTCACAGGATGGGGCCACACGCAGCAGCGTCATTACTACGTCAGCGGGCTGTTCTTCAGTGAGATCCAGCAGGGTCCTGTTCAGCCTGTTCTTAGCAAACTCATTGGCCACGAGCCATTGGTGGATGTACCTCACCATGGCGGGCACCTGGAGAAGGCACGAGAAAACTTGGAAAGCTGCCAGAGGGAGGAATGTCCCCAGCTTCCCCAGAGAAGTGCTTCCCTTGCCACCACACTGCCATGGCCTCAAAGGCTTCCAGTGACTAGCGGGCGTGGCTTGGGAGGCCAAGCAATTCCTGGGAGGATCAAACCCTGGCCACAGGCTGCTTACTCGTTTTGGATTGGAAAACCCCTCCTCTACCAGCGTATCAGCCAGGGCAGCACAGGTCTTGGTTTTGAAGATGGGTGCATATGCTCTGGGCCCTGTGCCCGTGGTGGTCGCTTCCTCCTGAATCGTCTTGATGAATTTGCAAACCAGCTGTAGGAGAAGGGCAGGAAGCCAGGGATGTTCCATGGAATGCTCCAAGCGTGGTTCTCGGCTGAGCGGTCACAGAAGGCCCAGCCCAGGTGGGGATGGCTGCAGGTACCTGCGCTGTTCTGCGGAAGAGGCCATGGGCGTGTTCCTGTTCTTGTGTCCGCTCCAGGGCTGCATCTGGTAAAGAGCGAGCGCAGCCAGAGCTGCTGAGGGGCTGCAGGAGAGGCTGGAGAACACAGCCCAGCCCTGTTCTTGCCCGGCAGGGAGAGCCTCATGATGCCCCAGGGATGGAGCACGGCTGCCACGTGGCCCAGCCCCAGCCCAGCTTCTGTCCTATCCATGGGCATGTCCAATGGGATGGGATGGGATGGGATGGGATGGGATGGGATGGGATGGGATGGGATGGGATGCGATGCGATGCGATGCGATGCGATGCGATGCGATGGGATGCGATGCGATGGGATGCGATGGGATGTGATGGGATGCAATGGGATGCAATGGGGCCAGGCTGGCTGCAGCCACCAGCCATGCAGCCCAGCAACCCAACTCTGCCACTCACCCTCCTGAAGCTGCTTGAATGGCACCACCTCTTCAGTCTCATGCCCTGGGGCAGCTCCAGGGCCTTCTTCCTTTTCCCCCACCCAGGCCAGCTTGGGCACTCTTGGGGGTCTCTGCTCCATGTCAGTGGCTGGATCTGTGGCTACTTGAAGGAGAGATGCCTCGGAAAAGCTCCGAGTCAGCAAGTCCTGCTTTTGTGCCTGCAAGGCTCCTTCAAGAGAGTAGCCTCAGGAAGGCTACAGGACAGCAAGTCCTTCACTCTGGTCTCGAGGGCTCCTGGCACAAGGACAGGAGACTCCTGTCAAGGATTGTGCTCTGGCCTCGAGGGCACTGGTGGCAGGGATGGGAGATGCCTCCAGGGCACCAAGTTCCACACTCTGCCCTCGAGGACACTTGCAGAAGAGAAGCCTCAGAAGGGCCACGGGTCAGCAAGTTCTGTGGCCTAGCCTCGAGGTCAGATGCAGGAATAACGCCTCAGAAATCTCTGGGTCAGACACGAACGAGTGCGCTGTGCGAGGGCTCCTCACAGCACTGCTCTGTCCCGTCCTGTCCCGTCCTGTCCCGTCGCGTGCTCGGAGCACTGTGGCATGGTCCTGTCACTGTCAGCTCCTATGTCACCAGGTGGCACAAAGGGCCCTTGGACACACTGTTCCATGCCATGGTGACCATGCTGCACGTGTCAAAAAGGGCCCCTGCACACACTGCCCCCTGCCCTGGGGCCACCCCCCGCCCACCCAAAGTGGCTCAGGTTGGAAGGAATCCCTCACCCCAAGTGTCTAAGACAACCCGACAGGGTCTTTAGGAACAGCTCAAACCATCAGCAAACGCTGCCCTGCTCTGCGGGCTCAGGGCAGCAGAAGGAGCCCCCAGGGCTGCCAACGCAGCCATGCTGGAAAGGGCACAGGGCCTTCCACAGAAGCTGGCACGGCCTCCTCGGGACACGTCCCGGCTGGTGGCCATCCTAAACCCGTGGGTGTGGAACATACAAGGAACTGTGGGCCAGGGCACGAATGCTGCTCTGAGCCCTGGGGCCCGGGGAGCGCTGATATCAGCAGGTGAGGCAGAGTCCCTGCCCAAGCAGACCTGCCACCCCCCGAGCCCTGGCAGCGCTGGTGCCCGTCTCCTGCCCCAGAGACCTGTGCCCCTGGGGGCTTCTGTGCCAGAGGGAGCCAAACCCACCTGCACTGGGGGCTGTGCTCCTGCTTGGCAGGAACACCTGGAGCAACTGCTGGCAACACTTGGTCTCTGTCAGAAGCTCTTACTCCATGCTGAAATTATTTTCTCATTGAAGTTATTGCCTTCAGCACAAAAACACCTTAGCGGCATAGGCACAGAAAAATCTGGCAAGGAAGAATCCTCCATTCAGGAAAGCTTTACATCCCATTGCTCAACTCAAGTATTTCCAGAACACTGCAAACTTCCCAAATTAATTGGGATGGCCTGAGGAGGTGAAGATTTGGAATTTTGCTTCCCATCTCAAAGCAGCAACTCATTTGCCTTAACCTCATCCATTGAGGGTCACTTTACAGAACATAGCACTACACAAAAAAAGGGAAAAACCAAGGGCCATTCTTTGATTTGCAAATGGTTTTCTATGAAGAGATGATAATATCCTAGGTCTCTTAAGGAATAAAAGCTCTCAAGAAATTAAAGTCCATTCAGTGGTACAAAAGTAGCTCAAACAAATGAGTAGATGGCAAAAGGGCTAATCCTCCCCCTGCTACAGATATCTAATTGTCCAGTAAAGTACAGCTCTCCCCTCTTCTTCCCTGCAGGAGAATCAGGACCATGAAAAGGAAAAGTCACAAATATTCTTTCTGCCCTGCGTAACCAAAGCTGTTCCAAAGCACAGATGCTGCCTTCAAAGTGACTCTAATTCCAGCCTAGAGCTCTCACCTTCCAGACAACTCCTTCCCCAACACCCCACCAACACCAGGTCCCCCAAAACTTCTGCACAGAAGCCCCCAACACCCTGTCAGGAACCCCGGCTGTCCCCACCCCTCTGCAGAGCTTTCCCACCCTCCAGCAGACACCCTGGTTCCCTGCACGTGCCATGGGATGGCCTCAGGAGGATCTGCTCCAAGGGCTTCCCCTGGAGCAAGCTCAGGCTGCCAGGCCTATGGTTCCTGGATCATCCTTCCCACCGAGCCTTCCTGTGCACGGCTGTTCCATCTGCACCTTTGGGCTCAGCTCAGACTTCTCCACTAAACCAGGAGTGCTGGTAAAGGATGGAGAGCAGCCTGGCAAGCTCTTTCTCCAGCTCCCTCTTTACTCTTGGGGAGGTAGAACATTCCACAAGAAAGCAACTGATGCCACAAGGAGGGGTGGCCTCAAGCACCTTTGGCAATGAAACAAAGCCTTTGTTTGACATAAGTAAGCACAAGCAAGTCACAAAAGTAAACAGGTAATTACCACAGCCATACATAAGTACTCAGCACCAGTTAGCATAAGAAAAACCTGGCAGGCCTAACTTGACCTGAGAGTGACTTGACACAAAGCTTTAGACATAGTCTACCAGAAGAACTAAGGGCAAGTGTGGAGTCAGCCCTGTGCAGGGAAGCCATGAGGAAGACTTTGTGCTGCTTTAGGGCATCGAGACCGCTCCTGGCCAGGGCCTGGACATCAGCTTCAAGTATAGGAATCTGACCCAATGTATTTCCAACCCCCTGCCTATCGAATTGCCTCAGCAGTGTAAAGATGGACAGTATGTTTGGTACAATTTCTGCATCAACCCACTGAAATTTATACGTGGCGGAGGAATATTTTAGTGGGGTGAAGACCCCCGCCCTCCTTCCAGGTCAATAAAAGAGCTTTTGGTGGACAGTGCATTTGTCTGTCAATTTCTTTGAATGAGGGAGACCCCTCAGGACTGCTATATCCTGAGGGAACACCATTGGCCTTGACCTGTAGGCAGCTGCACAATCTTAAAATCTGCTGCCTCAGCTTCCAGGACCTCTCTTGGCCAGCATCCTGACGTGGATGCAGAACTGCTGTGAGGCACTGCTGGGACCCAGCAGGACAGGACTGCCTGTGTCGTGTCCACATAGCACCCCTCACACAGCTGGGTCATCCCAAAACCAGACAAATGCTTGGGTGTCAGCAGAGGGGAGCAAGGAGCACTGGGCTCCTCTCAGGGTATCTCAGCTGGGCTCGCTCCACAACACACCCCCATTTTAAGGCCTGCTGATGCCCAGCTGCCAGAAATGCCTCCCTTGTGCTCTCCAAGATGCACAGGAGAGCCAAGAAGCAGGACACCTTGGGAGGCAAACCTTCCAAGCCTTTGCTGAGGCCAGGCACACACCAAGATCAGCCAAGACTCTCCACCACGCTGCCTGGCCCCCACAGCCCAGCTCTGTGCTGGCCCTGGGCCACAGCAGCTTCCACCAAGCAAGGGCAAATGCATGTAGCCAAGAGTTGAAACACAGCAGACAGGGAAGATGTGAAAAGTGTGTGCGTAAAGGCCTTTTAATTCACAGCTCCCACTGAGAGCTTTGGGGCTCGCAGCTGGACAGAGATGGTTCTGCTCACACCTCTGTCCAAAGCAGGGGATCACACCTTGCTGCAGGTGCTTGGGTCGGTCTCCGCAGGTCCAGGTGGATGCCAAACCTGCTCTTCACAGCCTTCTCCCTTGCCCTGCCCCTCTGTCAAGCACAACATGCCTGAAGGACTGAAAGGACCCCAGAGAGCCAAAGGGGGACCCTTGCACCTGCCTCACTGGGAGCTCCCTGGGAAGCACTGTCCTTGAGAAGCAAGCCCCTTTCCTCCAAAGGCATTTCCCCAAATGTGTAGCTTTTCTGGTGAACACCAACACACTCTTAAGAAAAGCGGGCAAGGCTGAATGACTTCAGATCCTCTCAGGACAGGCACTCCAGCTGTAGCTCGTATTCCCCCAAGTGTGTTTCCAGGTGGAGGTTCAGAGGGGCAGCCTCAGGCCCTCTACAAACACAAGCTGCTCACTGCCTCTTCACCTGCCTCAACTCCAGCCTGTGGTCACGGCAGCAAAACCAGGCTGTTCCCAGCCAGAGCCCAGAGCCCTGTTCCCACAGAATGCTCTTGCCAGCACCTTCCAGGACCCTCCGCTGTGCACACAGCGCTTTTCATGCCCGCTCTCAACAGGCCTTGGAAGGCAGAGCACAACCTGGCTGGCTCTGCCACCAGCACACCCCAAACACAGGCGGAGGAAGAAGCAGCAGGGGCTGTTTTGCAGCCATACCCAGGAGAAACTGGAAGGGTGCCCTCCCTCTGCTCTCACTTGGTTGGCTTTCTGACTGGCTCTGAGGCTGGGGCTGCCATTCCTCACTTGTGGGCACCAGAACCACACCTGGGATCCCGGCACTGCCTGACAGCGCTCCAGGCTCTGGCACAGTCTGAGTCTCGGGCACCGTGCTGCTGCTTCATTTGCTCTTAGGCACAGCCAAAGCTCTCTGTTAAGCCCAGATGGTGCTGGTTCTGCCCTCTCCCTGATCCTGTGCAGGAATGGAGCACTGCTGAGCTTTCAGCAAGCTGTTCTTGAAAACTTCCAGCATACCAAGCTCCTTTGCCCTCCGTGGATGCTTGCCATGGAATCCCTCACAGCTGGGTTTAGAGCATCCTCAGCTTGGCTCTCCCAAATTCCAGGGTCTCCAGGGTGCTCAGCAAGATCTGCAACTCCCCAGGGTTGTGGAACTGCACCTTCAGCACAGGCACCTTTCCAGCCTGATCTGCCCTCGTTCCTCTGTGTCTGTGCACAGAACACGGCATGGAAGAGAACGGCAGGAGGGGCCTGTGTGTTCCAGGGCCCCGGATTTGCATCGCTTCAGCTCCACAGAGATGCAGGTCAAGCGAAGAAGCCAAACTGTTTATTAATGGAAGGCAAAGCAAAGGGATGAGCTGGGAGGGAAGAAAGGGGATGGGCAGGGTCTGAGGGCTGGAGGGAGGGAGCTGTCAACAGGGAGGGAGAAGGCAGGAGCTATGGGAGCTTCCCACAGGCTCAGCTGTGCTGGGCATCAGCTGTGCCTGGAGCTCCAGCTGGTCTCCTCTGGTCCCCAGGTGCTCTCACCTTCCAAGGGATCTGGAGGTCTTACAGAGACACTGGTTCTTCTGAGCCACCAGATGAAAGTAGTTCTGCAAATCTTCCCTTGAACATCACCTGAACAAATATGCTTATGCGGGAGGGGCTGTCGTCTTCACTTAGGGCTTGAAGGGCTGCAAGAGAGAGGAACAGAGCCATGGTCAGAACCTGGATCTGCAGGAATCCAAGGAGACCTTTCTGCCAGGACCATCCCACCCAGTACTTGCCATGGCCACAAGAGAGGAGGGGGCAGAGGGATCAGCTGCAAGGTGCTGGCCATGAATCCCCCCCGCCCACATTCCTGAAATCTCTGTGTGCTCTGCTCACACCACTCCTCATCCACACAGGGAGCGAAGCCCACCACAGCCGGGGCAGGGATGGCAGCTCCCTGCCCAGGCATTGCAGCTCGCCCGGCCAGCCCCTGCTGACTGCCCACTGCCCTCATTCACACTCAAGGAGGTCTGAGATGAAATCAGAGCACCCAGACAAGGATAAGAAAGGAGGGCCCTCGCCACCCACAGGGGAGCCAATGTTTGAGATCATCACCAAGTCCCTGATGTACGAAAGTCTCCATGGTCTGCACAAAGACATTGTACGACAGGGACGTGAGGCGTATACAACGTGGTTACTCCGGGTCTGGGACCTTATGGGAACAGGCATGCAACTGGATGGTGGTGAGGCAAGGAATTTGGGACCCTTGACCCAGTACTCAGGTGTGAATCAGATTTTTGTAAGGGAGCCAGGGTCCCTTTTCCTCTGGGAGCGGCTTTTAATGAGTGTCAGAGAGAGGTTTGTCCACAAGGAGAGAA